TGTCAGGGATTCATTCTATCTCCATACCTTTTAAGTTTGTATGCAGAACAGATCATTCAGGAGGCTGAACTTTATGAAGAGGAATGTGGCATCAGAATTAGAGGAAGACTCATCAGTAACCTGTGTTATGCAGATAACACAACCTTGCTTGCTTGCTTGATGAAACTGAGGAAGACTTGAAGTTTGCTGCAGAAGGTCAGGGACTGTAATATTAAGTGTGGATTGAAACTCAGCATCAAGACGACAAGATTCTTGCCACTGGGCCAGTTAGTAGCAAAATGATAGATGAAGAAGAGATTGAGATTGTTCACTGTTTCAGCTTCCTTGGCTCCACAGTCAGCAGCCAGGAAATCAAAAGATGAATTACACTGGGGAAGTGTGCTGTCAGAGACCTCTTAAAAGTGCTAAAGAGAAGTTATGTCAGTCTAGAGTCCAAGGTGTGCCTGATCCAGGCTATCGTCTTTGTGATTACTTGTTATGCATCAGAGAGCTGGATGTGACTAAGGACCATGGAAGAAGAATTGAGGCCTTTGAGTTGCAGTTCTGGAGAAGAGGGATTGTAAAACAATGAAAGTTTCTACTTTGTTAGTAGAAAGAGGATTAAATAATAATAGCGAGGCAGAGAAAGAAAAGAGAGTCATATGAGAATGTCTAAGTGAGGTAGCCATCACTAAATGTGACTGATGGCTTGGCTTTGTATGGCCACACTCCAAGGAGATATATCTCAGAATCTCTATTCAGAGATAGAAAAATGTACTATACAAACTGTCAACACCTCAGCACTCTGGGCTCAGCATTCATGGGTGCGAAACAGACTACTGAAGAATTCTAAGCCTCAACAGCACCAGAAAAGCCCATGATAGAAGCTGGGAGGTAAATTGGTTCATAGTGTTTCCAGTGACTATGAACTTTTGAAAATATATCATCAGGAATTTCTTCCACAGCACTTCTTGAGATTTGACTCTTTTGTTGGGAGCCAGGTATTTCATCATTTGCATGAATCACTATGAAGTTTTGCCACATTATGTCAGAGTGAATCCCTCAGAGCCCAGGCTCTCTATGCCTGTAGTGAAAGAAATAACAATAAGGACAGACCTAAATTGCTTAAGAACTGCTTTAACAATCTGTGGAGGATTTGGTATAGTACCTGGCACATGGAAGAGCTTAGCAGATGTCAGCTATTACTGCGTATGGTCAGGGAAGTAAGATAGAGATGGTCAAAAAGTAAGCTAAAATAGATAGGAGTTTAACAGAAGGCTGTGACTTGAATTTTGAGTTGGAAAGCCTAACTCCTTGGAGATTTGCTTCTAATATTATATCTACACTAGTCAGTTGTACTCAAAAAATCTCTATAGCAACCACTTTTATCACTTGAAACTAGGTACCTCTGAATAGAAACACTCACACATGAATGCATGCTCAGAGGAAAAGATACAAGATGCTTGCTTCCCTTATTTCACAGGAGTCCTCCACTAGATAGAAATTACTTTCATTTTCACAGGACCTTCATAAAGTTAATATCCTCTCCATATTAGTCTCTGAATGATGCAAATGATTAAACAGTTGGCTCCTACCTGAAGAGCTGCAAGTTCAAATCCACCCAGAGAAGCTATGAAAGAAAGATGTGGGTACCTGCTATTAAAAGCTCACACCCCACAACAAGATAAAGGTAAACAATCCAATTGAAAAATGGTCACAGGATATGAACAGACGCTTCACCAGAGAAGACATTCAGAGGGCCAACAAGCACATGAGAAATGTGCAAAATCCCTAGCTCTAAGAGAGATGCAAATCAAAACAACTATGACATATCATCTCACACCAGTAAGAGTAGCAAAATTTAAGAGAGCAGCAAACAACAAATGTTGGCAAGGTTGTGGAGAAACTGGAACCCTTATTCACTGCTGGTGGAAGTGTAAAATGTAAAATGGTGCTTTCTCAAAAAGTTGCAAATATGATACCATTTGACCCAGCAATTCCACTACTGGGAATATACCCCAAAGAGACATAACTGCCACCCAAACAGATATATGCACATCCATGGTTATCACGGCTTTGTTAACAATAGCAAGGAGTTGGAAACAACCTAAGTGCCCATCAACAAACAAATGGATAGAGAAGCTATTGTATATTATAACAGTTGTTATATTTACTAAGCTGCATTGAAAAGCAAGGAACTCATGCAATATTATTCAAAATGGGTGAGCCTGGAGGACATTATACTGAGTGAAATATCTCAGTCACAAAAGGACAAATACTGCATAGCGCTACTATAAAACTCTTACTATAAAACAGGACTGACATTGGGGTTGAGGGGAGACTGAGAAAGATGGGAAAAATAATGTATACTGCATTGAAACAGATGAGGGAGAAAATTGTTTAAAAGGGATATATGATTAGGTATTATTGTCATGATAGGAATCCAGAGTGAAGGCTGCATAGTGCAGTTTACCTGGGGGAAGGGATTGTAAGACAATGAAAGATTTTCTTTTCTTTTACTTTTCAAAGAGAAGAGTATACTGGGGGAGGGGGGAGGGATGGGCATGGAGAAAAGTACAACATTGAATGAACGGAAATCCAAAGTCTCTGTAAATTTTCAGTAAAATTTATAAAAAAAAATTGAGTGGATCCAACAGCAGAATTGTAAGATCTTCCCTACCAGCAAAGAAGAAACAAAAAAAAAAAAACCCAAAAAAACCAAAGAACTCACACCCATTAGCAACTCCATGGAGAACAGTTCTACTGTGAAATGCATGGGCTCTCCCTAAGGCAGAATCCACTTGATGGCAACTGGTTGGCTGGCTGGCTGGCTGGCTTACCAATATTACTGTTGGAAACAGAATGTGAAGAAAATGGCATAACTGGTCCAATATTACAGTTCTGAGTGACAGACCTGAGATTCCCAAGAATATTTGATTCTAGATAATTCCGATCTCTGTCGGAAAGTATTATTGACAAATGCACATTTGGTGTGTTTTCTTAAAATTTCTTTACTGAAGAAATCGCTAGAAAAACCTTTGTTCAAAATGCATAAATAAGAACTGCCATGCAATAAGATTCATTCCAAATTTTAATTAACAGGGAAGAGTCATACTTTCAGTAGGAAAAATAAAATTATGTCAGTTGCATAATTTGTTGATGGAGTGGTTCATTATAGTAAATGCACTTCAGTCTTAGTGAGGTCATCCAGTCGGAGTTGGATGGATACAGGTGAATTGCTATACAAGGTGATAATATAGAAGGAGGCTGAGTTTGAAAATAGTACCAGTCCAGTGATGGGAATAGGTATTTATGGAGTCGGCTCTGAGCCAGGTATTTTCACATCTATCAGCCCTCCACAAGAACACTCTTAACAAGTAGGCATATTAGTATTTGTTTTTAAGCCAGAGCCCACAGAGGCTGAACTATTGGCCAGCTTCAGAACCAGTGTCGAATGAGGATTTCTGTCCAGATGTGCTGGCTTCAAGCCCAGAGTTGCAGTTTGCTGTCTACTGGGACAAAGAGAAAACCCCAAACCCACTGCACTCAAGTTGATTCTGACTCATGGTATCCCTGTGTACTGTAAACTGGACGCCAAGGGAATTCAACTGTAATCTTTACAGAAATAGATTCCCAGCCCCTCCTTTCACAGTGCCAGTGGATGAGTTTGAACAGGCAGCCTTTCAACCATCCATGGATCTTCAGCTGCTGGGAATGCACCCCTAAACTCTTCCTGTGTGAATTATGGTCTGAGGAGCAACAGTGTTGGCATTGCTTGGGAGCTTTCCAGTAATGCAGAACCTCAAGCCCCAACTCAATCTGACTGAGTCAGAATCTCTAGATGATTCAGATGCACACTAAAGATTCCAGAGCCCTGCCTTAAGCCTTTTCTCCTTTTCTCCCGTGTAAGTTGGAAAAGTCCCGAGGGATAACTGCCTACATCCCTCATCAGAACTCTTATCTACAGGACTTAATATCCGTAGAACAGGCCCAGGTTCAGCCATTTCTCCTGGAGACACAAGAAATAGCCCAAAACCTATTGCCATTGATTTGATTCCAGCTCATAGTGACTGTATGAGACAGAGTATTACTGTCCCACAAGGTTTTCAAGACTCTGGTCATTTGGGAGTAAATAATGACTGTTCTTGTCTTGTGAAGTTGCTCGTGGAATGAATTGCCAGCCTTTTGTTTATCTGGCCAGTACTTAATGACTGCCTCACCTAGACTCTTACCCCCTGGCAGTTGTTGTTGTTAGATATTGTTGAGTCAAATACAACTCAGAGTGACTCTGTGAACAACAGATCAGAACCCTGTCCTGTTCTGTGCTACCCTCACAGCCTCTAACACACAAGAGCATTGCCGCATCCACTACATCCGTCCACCTGATCAAGGGCCTTCCTCTCTTTCGCTGACCCTCTACCTTCCCAAGCATGATGTCCCTCTCCAATGAATAGACTGTTCTAGCAACATGTCCAAAGTATGTGAGACAAAGTTTTATTGCCTCCAATGAGCACTCAGGCTGTACCCTCTCCAAAACATATTTGTTTGTTCTTTTAGTAATCCATGGGATAGTCAGTACTCTTCTCTAACACAACAGTTCAAAGGCATCGATTCTTCTTCTGTCACCCATAGTCACAGTCCAGCTGTCACTAGACTGGCAATAGGTATCTGTAACTGATGATTGTTTTATTTTAGTCTTAGTAGCTCTGTTGGTTTCAATGGTGATGAATCATTGCCCCTTTTTGAGCGACAGTGCATATGGAAACACTTGACAAAATAGAAAAGCTTTATTCATTCATCTCAAAAACTTCTGTGAAGTCTCACCATATATATGAGTCTCCATGTCCTCAGAGGTTCAGGCTGTTGGCTATAGATCAGTCCACAGATCTTTCCAATGGTGAGGGAGTCATTAGGCATCAGAAAGCATGAACCTCTGAAGGATTGTGGAGGGGCATACTGTCTCTAGAGTGTAAGTGTGTGTTGTCATTTCTATTCCTAATCTTCTTGTCTGCCTGCGACAGGAACAGGATGAAACCAACTTTCAGGGGCCATCTGGTACTGCGGATCTCATCTCCAAGTGTGGTGACCTAGATGTCATCTTTGAATATAAAGCTTCCAGTCAGAAACTCACAGTGACCGTAGTGAGAGCACAGGGTCTTCCGGACAAGGACCGAAGCGGGGTCAACTCCTGGCAAGTTCACATGGTGCTGCTGCCCAGTAAGAAGCAGAGAGGCAGGACGAGCATCCAGAGAGGATCCAACCCCGTCTTCAGGGAGAAGGTCACCTTCGCAAAGCTGGAGCCCAGAGACCTGGCTGCATGTGCTGTCCGCTTCCGCCTGTACGCTGCTCGCAGGATGACCCGTGAGAGAATGATGGGAGAGAAGCTGTTCCATCTTAGCCACCTGCGCCCAGAAGGGGAAATGAAAGTGACTCTGGTTCTGGAGCCAAGAAGTAATATAAGTGTAAGTATGTTAAATGGTGCTGCTAATGAAACGGTGTGTTCGAGGACCTGAAATTGTCAGCCCTTGATTTAGTGCATTGAGCCTGTGAATTCAGAAACCTTAATTTAATTTTCCATTTGGCTCTCCTCATCCTTATAAGCCTTGATTTGCACTTCATGGCACAATGGGTTTTTCATGCCTGTCTTCCCAATAACCTGATGGATGTATTCCCTGTCCATTTTAGGAAATGACAACAGAGGGGTGATGGTGGACATGGGAGAGGTGGTTTGGCCTTCTGGTTCGTGGATGACTGGTGGCCCTGGCCTCTCCCACAGTCTGTATTACGATGAATCTCAGAAATTAGACTATCCAGAAGAAGCCCTTGGCAGGTACTCCAGAGCAGGCTGTAACAGCAGTCCTGAACTTTGGCCGCTTCTACAGACCTTCTGTTTATTTACATGGACTCCTCCCAAGTACCCTGTCTCTTTGCTTTTCCTGTTGTTCTGAAGAAAGACAATGTAGCTCTTACAGCTACATGATGCTCACTGTTAGGAGAAGGCTCAAGTCGGGGAGGAGTCAGTCCACTTTATTCCTAATGTTGTGTGGTGTACCCTTAAGTCAGAACAAGCTCATAGCTGACCCTCCAGCAGGTTTTCAGAGGCAATAAAGTTCATGGCAGCAGATTGCCCATCACTCCCGCAGAGCAACCGGCAGATTCAAGGTGGGTACTTTTGGGTTGGCAGTATAGCTCCTTACCACTAAGCCACCAGAGCTCCTCTGATTTCTAATAGATGTCTCAAAATAAACAGCATTAGATTTGAAGTCCTGATTTTTGTTCTTCTGAACCTTCTCTGGGAGCTTTGGTGGCTTAGTAGTAGGGAATTGTGGTGCCAACCCAAAAGGCTCATGGTTTCATCATTAGGGTCCTTTATAAAAAATAATAAGAGATGATTTCAGGTGCTAGGGAAGAAAGATTCAATTGATGCATTATGTACTTTGATAGAGGAGACAGTGGCTTAGGGGAGTCGATTGACCTGACCTAGCAGAACGGATTTCCACTCCCACTAAATTTGCATTTAGCTCCTGTTCAACTTGGCATTTTCCTCCGCAAGTGCCTGGTGCATAAGGTGAGTGCACGTGCATAAACATGACGAGAAGCTTGGGACTCTCTCCTGGGCTCACCTTGTGCCTGTTAGGTTGCTGGGTCCACAGTCTCTTCATCAGCTTCTCTACAAATGAGTGGTGAAGCACCCATTTTCAATTTAATTCATTTCCTTGGGAGGCCGACTTTAGTATATGGCATATACCTGACAACCTCAAGAATCCAAACTAAGGCCAAGTGTTACATGTGGTGGTAGCCCATAGTAGCCCAATGGCTGCATCTTTTATAATGAAGATAAAATACCTCCTGTATAGCTGCATTCATTGGGAAGCTGCGGAGAGCAGAAACGGAACTCACATCCAGAGTAGATGGTTTCATAGAAACATCCAAGCTCACATTGCACAGGAGGGAATTTTGGTCTTTATTAAATGTATTATTAGCTCTCCATGCATCTTCGTGGGTTTGATTTACACTAGTAATAACGTCTTTGTCCGTTTCGTCTTCCAAGAGGAAATATTGAATGGAGCCGGCTCTTGAAACAAATATGTCAGCCAGTAATGCAGAGGATCTCATCCATGACTGTGTTCCCCAGGCCCATTATAATTCACACTGAGTGCGCCGTTAGTAATCGTTGGCAGCCGTTGAGATTGGGTCACAATTTCACCAAACATAATATCGCTGGCTGTAAAAGAGAGTAGTGCAGTGTGGGCCAATGGATTCTTTGTTGTCCTTCCCCTCCAGAGTGGAGAGTCTCAGCTCAGCCCATCTGCGGTTTCTCACAGTGATAGTGCTTCATCTACGCAGTCACTGTCCCATGGAGGCATGCCAGAGCTGTTGGTGGGGCTGTCTTACAATGCTACAACGGGGCGATTATCTGTGGAAATTATCAAAGGCAGCCATTTCCGAAACCTCGCTGTGAACAGAGCGCCTGGTAAGTGCTCCTCTGCTCTCCCAGCTCAGTTCTTGCAAGTAGACAGCCAGGCCGGCTTTCATCATAATGCTTTAATTTTTACAGTAAAGAAGATCTTGGGCAGGTTTTACAAAGCTTTCGCAAAATGATACCTCTGAACATTTTAATATCATTCTAGTTAATTAGATTGAAGACGTTTCATATCTGGATACATCTTAGTAAGTTGATGTCTGTACCTGTGTTCGTTAATGGGAAAGAATGTGATCTTTTTAGCAAAATTAGATGTATAGGCAATTAAAATCTGCGAGGAAGTTGCAGGCCCTCAAACATCTTCTAAAAGGCAGAGCACAGGCATTGGATGAGGACAGTCTGGCCGGCCAATTCAAGCTGTCCTGCTTACTCACTGATTTTACTCTGATTCTATGAAGTTATTCTTTTCTGAACTTCAGATGATTTATTTCAGGCAACAGATATTAGTGGTACCTTCTCAGGGACTGTTTTAGAGTTTAAATACTTTCTGTAGAGCAGTTAACACAAAGCCTTATACCTAGAGAGCATTTAAGATATACTAGTGGTCAGGGTGAGGCTGGAGAAGGAGATAGTGGAGGCAGATCAGCTGGGGCAGTTGAGAATGAGCCCCAGGAGAGCTAATCCTCCCAAATCACCACTGGGATGGAAGGCTCAAGCCACACCCCGACGGCACAGTGCAGGGTTCAGGAGCACAACCACATGGCTACTGCTGCCATCCTCTACTGCTCCTTAACACCCACGAATTTCAAAATTGGTCCTTAGAAAGATGTTTAAATGTTCTCACATCTTTTTATGAACTTTTTTTTGAAAGAGTAGCTTAAAAAAGAGGAAATGGTATGTGCCTCACTTCTGCCTTCCTACACTCAGGCAAGTCCATCCAGTGGGTGAAGTCTAATTTGTACCTAGAATGCTAGCTGCAAGGAACTTGGAAAAATAGTGGTGTTGGTTTGCAGGCTTTTCAAGTACAGAAGGTTAAACTAAGTGGGTAGAGTAGGGGACAAGTGAGTTACACTGTGGACACAATACTCTTCTTAAGAATGCAATCAATGAAAATAGGATCATCAGCTCATTACTGTGGAGTCAGAACCGACTCATAATGACCCTCTTTGGGTTTCCAAGACTGTCAGTCGCATGGGAGGAGCTTGCCCATCTCTTTATCCAGCTGAGTCACTAGTGGATTCGAACTGAGAGAGAGGTGCCACCTTTGGGTTAGTAGTTTAACTCACTATGGACTATGCCAGCAGAGATCCTTGGAACCATGGTAGGCTGAGTCGGTATCCTCTGACTTCAGCTACCAACAACAGCAGGTAAAGAACTAATAGAACTGGTAGAAAAAGCGCACTTCTATAATAGATCAAGAACTTAATATTTCTTTCTCTCTCTCTCTTTTTTTTTCTCTAACCCTGCTGCAGCCCGTAATGTCTTCATTTAGTGGGGTAGCTTCTTAGGCAATCTGTATTAATGTCATTCGAGCAAATGAGTAAGGAAGCCCCAGAATAGACGAATGTTTATACTAAACTCTGTACCACTGCTCAGACCCAGGCAACAGATTGTCCAAAACATGGAATAGATGCTGCTTGGTCATTTTGGTGTTAGGATATCTTTACTAGATTGAACTTTGTTTCTCAAAATACTTCTGGATTTACTTAGAATCTAGGTTTATGTCTTTTCCTTCAGAGGTTCTGTCAATCTCTTTCACGTTCTCCTCAGTTTTGGTTAAATCTGAACAGTGTTTGAGGAGAGAAACAGAAATGTAGGTAATTAGGAGGATGTGAAGCACACAGTATGGCAAATTCCAGAACACTCTGGGCATCTTTAATTTGTGTGCTAGTGGTAGCCTTCAATATAGAGGAAATGTATTGCTATTGTTAGTTGCCACTGGTTTGATCCCTGGTTCTTGAAGACCCTACTGGGCTACTGTGCTCTATAGATATTAATATTGGCTACTTTTAGAAGAAGACCACTGAGCCTCTCTTTCTAGCTCATCTTAGTTGGGAAAACTCTGCTTAAACCAATTAAGCATCATAGCAACATGCTGGTCTCTACTGGCCAAATGGTGGTACCTGTGTATGAGATGCACTGAACGGGAATCAAAGCCAGGTCTCCTGTATGGAAGGTGAGAAATCTACCATTGAACCACCATGTGATGATTAAGAAGGCCTCGTCCAAAAAAAGAAGAAGAAGAAAAAAAAGGCCTCGTCCAAGGGCTGAAAAAATAAGATGTGAATTCAAGTTTTGCCACTTACTAGCTCTAAGTTTCTTAGCTTTCTTTCAATTTCCATTTTTGCATGTGTGAGATAAAAGTCGTAATTACATCTACAGGGCTGTGCTCCTTAATGTCCATTTGGGCAACATCTGACCAGGGCACCAAGGTGCCTGAGTGCCAGGATGCCACACTTTCATCTTGAGATTGGAGTTCCTCTTCTGTTCGGCTGCTTTGTGTAGGCTGGAAACCACTTGGTCTACAGCAGTGGAAGCCCAAACCTAAACTTTTACCTCTGGTCCTCTACAGTTCTCCTAATTCAGTGACTCTATTCGTCATGTTTTTTTGGTAGTTCTGTATGGTGCCTAGGGTAAAAGTATGCACTCAGGGATCCCAGCCCCTGGTTCAGGTGCCCTCGGCTCCCTTGGCCCACACCATCTTCTCCCTGGGCATGTTCTCCTGGTGAGCTGGCCTTCCCTCAGAAGACTTAGCTGAGAAGGTTGGTGACACTGTGGTGAGATCGGAAGTAGTGTGCATCCAACATGTGTGCAGTGGGAGATGCTGGGTCTGTGTACCACACTGCAGCCCCTGGGCCATTGTGCTCAAGAGCCTGGTGCCCAGTGAACACACTATGTCCAAGTCACATAATATTTTATTCCACGGAATATATGATGGATATGAAGTAGCACATCTCTGCACTTCATAGGTAGAGAACTCAGGAGTAGTCTGAAGGGAATTGTGCTGCTTTTAGAGGTAGGGTTATATATATATAAAACTGTCATATCGAGGTTGTTACTATTATATCTTTATAACTTTCTATGTAAAAGAAATTCTGCAGAAGAGAAAATACTTGCAGCAAGTACTTAAAAACTGAATTGGAAAAAAGGGCAAGTCTTAATTTAGAGATTTATTTTATTCCAGAAGTTTAAACCAGTTTGGCATTTAGTACATGACTTGTCATGGACTTGGTGTTGCAATTTAACTTAAAATTGTGATGGATATGCTGTACCTTTGCAGCCAAATAATGGAAAGCAATCTAATTAAATGAAATATAATTATATTATTAAAACAAGAAACTCAATGGGGATAATAAAAGTTTTTATTTATCTAGAATGCTGATACTTGAGGTGAAGCCATTTTATTTAGGAGAGAATGACAGGTAAAAGCTTCTTTGTGAGGACTGAAAGGGACCTTTTGGTACTTCCAAGTCTTTAGATGTTGATGGCATTAGTTCTTCATTATATTTCCTTCACTACACAACTAGCACTACTTTCACAGTTATCAGGCAAGCTTCGGATTTATTTTTAGTTCCCAGATGGAAAAGAACGAGTGAGAGAAAGATGAGGGAACAAGGATTTCATGAGCTAACTGAGCAGAGTTTGAAGGAGGAGAAGAAAGAAAAAAGACCTATACTGGTAGGAAATTAGTAAGGGAGCCATGGAGATGAGTTTGAAGGGTGGAAGAAGCAACACAAGGGCACTTTTGTCAGTGGCAGAGGGCAGGAGGTGGCTTATGCCACCAGGAAGGAGCTGCTTAGTTGGGGAGAGATCTGCCTGAAATGTATATGGGACCTGTGCGTGGGGGAGAGGAAGTCACAAATCCTGTGCTAGTGACTCTCAGCTCAAGTTCAAGCACCTTCTTTTTTTTGCGAAAAAGGTAGCATCAGTGTTCTTAACCCTGCTTTAAAGATAATGATTGTGTAAAGGAGAGTTCAAATGAAAGTAGGGAAAAAATAGACTGGACATGAGCATTACAATTTTTTTTTTTTAAGAATAGTGTTAAAGTTTTAAAATCTGCTGGAAATAAGAAACAAGGTCTGTGATTTAATGTGAAAATATTTTGCTTCAAAATATATCATAAAATGTCGAACTCATCAACTTGTTTCAGTCATATGATTGGTATTTTAAATTTTCTTTCTTAAGCAAGATAAGCCCAAGCAAAGGGAAGAAATCAAGATATTAAGGATTCGAACAGAAGATTCCAGAGGGCAGCATGGGAAGACAAAATATTACAATGAAATGTTCAAGAAGCTGGAGTCAGAAAATCAAAAGGGCTGAACTCACTCAGCATTTCTTAAGCTGAAGGAACTGAAGAAAAAATTCAAACTTTGAGTTGCAATACTTAAGGGTACTTTGGGAAGAATATTCAATGATCCAGGAAGCACTAAAAGAAGATGGAAAGAATATATAGAATCATTGTACCAAAAGGAATTGGTGGACACAGAAGAATTTCATGAAACAATGTATGAACAAGAGCCTGTGGTGATGAAGAAGTTCAAGCTGCTCTGAAAGAATTGGTAAAAAACAAGGCCCAGAAATTGATGACATACTGAAATATTGACATATTTCAACAGACGCTGCCCTGGATGTGCCCACCAAATTGTGCCAAGAAATCTGGAACACAACCACTTGGCCAACTGACTAGAAGAGATCTATATTTGTTCCCATTCCAAATAAAGGTGATCTGATAGAGTGTGGAAATTATCAAACAGCATACACACAAGCAAGATTCTGCTGAAGATTATACAAAAACGACTGTAACAGCACATCAACAGAGAACTGCCTGAAGTGTAGGCTGGATTTAGAAGAGGCCATGTCACTAGGGATATTAATAGCTAATATCAGGGGGAGTTTGGCTGAAAGCAGAGAGTAACAGAGGAATGATTATCTGTATTTCATTGACTATGCAAAGGCATTTGACTGTGTGGATCACAACACACTGTGGCTGACTCTGAGAAGAATGGGAATCCCAAAACACTTGATTGTGCTTACGTGAAACCTATACTTGG